GAGTTCCGTGCACTGCTCTTTGTGCCTCGCAGAGCTCCATTCGATCTCTTCGAGAACAAGAAGAAGAAGAATAACATCAAGCTGTACGTGCGCAGGGTGTTCATCATGGACAACTGCGACGAGCTCATCCCAGAATATCTCAGTAAGTCTCTGAATCCAGAATGATGCAAACGCCAGCCAGATCTCCCAGTAAACCTGAAGCCTCAGATCTGTTTGTTTTGCGCCGTCTTTAATGTGATCCCACTTTTCCTCCCAGACTTCATTAAGGGTGTTGTGGACTCGGAGGATCTGCCGCTCAACATCTCCAGAGAGACGCTTCAGCAGAGCAAGATCCTGAAAGTCATCCGCAAGAATCTGGTCAAGAAGTGTCTGGAGCTCTTCACTGAGCTCTCCGAGGACAAAGACAACTACAAGAAATGCTACGAGCAGTTCTCCAAGAACATCAAGGTGAAACTCGAGCTCAAGTAGCCAATAAACACACAAAGAAGGTTTGTTGTAAAAGTGTTATAGTCAGCTTTGTTTTTATAGCACTTTATTACAAAACAGATTGATTCGAGGCAGCTTCGTAGGAATAAACAGGAAAATAACAGTGTTAATGTTGCCAAATTGATCACTTATACTATAATAAAAAAATATATAGGGCAATATTTGGCTGAGATACAACTATTTGAAAATCTGGAATCTGAGGGTGCAAAAAAATCTAAATATTGAGAAAATCATCTTTAAAGTTGTTCAAATTAAGTTCTTAGCAATGCATATTACTAATCAAAAATTAAGTTTTGATATATTTACAGTAGGACATGTACAAAATATCTTCATGGAACATGATCTTTACTTAATATCCTAATGATTTTTGGTATAAAAGAGAAATGTATAATTGTGACCCATACAATGTATTGTTGGCTATTGCTACAAATATCCCCCAGCGACTCAACACTGCTTTAGTGCTGCAGAGTCACATATTTTTAATAGTCTTAAAATATTGATTCACTCATAAACATAAATGTTTAAAAATGTAACCTTATTGCAAAACCTTATTGCAAAAAGTAACTAAAAAACAAATTGTTTAATGTATTTAAAACAAAATGTTTAAAATCATTCAGCTCAATTAATTACCTATTTTGTTAGTTATATTTATCTTTTTATTATTTATTTTTTATAAAAATTGTAATTATGTCTTAATTGGATATCTATTTAGTTTAATTTTAGATTTTATTAATCCCCCCCCCCCCTTAAATTTAAATTTTCATGTTTAAAGTCCCAGTTTATACTGTGCAAAATTATTATACATGCAAAATATTATTTAGAAAATAGTTAGTTTGTATTTAATCACCCACACACACACACACTCTCTATTGTACCGAACTGTTAGATGTATTTTTATTTTTAAAAAGTACATAAAAATACCTCATTGCAAATTGTTAAAAAAAAGCAAAAAAGTCACATATTTTTAATAGTCTTAAAATATTGATTCACTCATAAACATAAATGTTTAAAAATGTAACCTTATTGCAAAAAGTAACTAAAAAACAAATTGTTTAATGTATTTAAAACAAAATGTTTAAAATCATTCAGCTCAATTAATTACCTATTTTGTTAGTTATATTTATCTTTTTATTATTTATTTTTTATAAAAATTGTAATTATGTCTTAATTGGATATCTATTTAGTTTAATTTTAGATTTTATTAATCCCCCCCCCCCCTTAAATTTAAATTTTCATGTTTAAAGTCCCAGTTTATACTGTGCAAAATTATTATACATGCAAAATATTATTTAGAAAATAGTTAGTTTGTATTTAATCACCCACACACACACACACTCTCTATTGTACCGAACTGTTAGATGTATTTTTATTTTTAAAAAGTACATAAAAATACCTCATTGCAAATTGTTAAAAAAAAGCAAAAATATTACAAAACACAAGACAATAGTATGATTATTCAGCTGAGTTCATTTCTAGTGTCAGTGCAGTCAAATCAATAATATGACTGAATATTAATTGAATCACTCTTTTAAATGAATAGTCAGTGAACATGGCAACTAATATTATATATCTATATTTTCCCGTCACACAGCTAGGCATCCATGAAGACTCTCAGAACAGGAAGAAACTCTCAGAGCTGCTTCGCTATTACACATCGGCTTCTGGAGACGAGATGGTGTCCCTCAAAGATTACGTGACTCGCATGAAGGACAGTCAGAAGCACATCTACTACATCACCGGTGTGGATGCCTTGAGCTCTCAATGCATTGGGAATCATTGTATTAATGACTTTAACTAATGTTTGCATGCATCTTCTGCAGGTGAGACCAAAGATCAGGTGACCAACTCTGCTTTCGTGGAGCGCCTGCGCAAAGCCGGTCTGGAGGTGATCTACATGATCGAGCCCATCGATGAATACTGCGTCCAGCAGCTGAAGGACTTCGAGGGCAAGAACCTGGTATCGGTGACCAAAGAGGGTCTGGAGCTGCCCGAGGACGAGGAGGAGAAGAAGAAGCAGGAGGAGAAGAAGGCCAAGTTTGAGAACCTGTGCAAGATCATGAAAGACATCCTGGAGAAGAAAGTCGAGAAGGTAAAGATCAACTAAACCAAGGGTTTTCGGTCTTTTAGATGCCACAGACTCCTGAAACATCCTAAAATGATGGCTGTGCGTAGCGTCATGTATAAAAACCCAACCTACACTGAAAATTCATATTATAAATATGTAAAATAATATTTGGAGAATATTTAGTTTGTATTACATTTACTTTTCTTCTCTGTATAGTACTGTACTGTTAGTTCTATTATTTATTTTATTATATATTTAACATATAAATATATTTAATAAATTTTATATTAATAATATATATTAATAATTATGAATATATATATTAATAATATGTATTTAATATAAATATATAGTTTATATATATATATTCTATATATTTAAATATAAAATATATATTTTATTTATATAAATTTCATGTATATATGTTATAATTTATTTTATTTTAATTTTTTATTATTTATTTGTCTTATCCATTTAGCTTTCTTATTTTGTATTTATTTATTTAAGGTTTTTTAGGCTGTATATTCTCATGTATAAAGAGTCGATTTATACTCTGAAAAATAATATAAATATGTAAAATATTATGTGGAAAATGCTTAGTTCACTTTTTTTCCCACTCACTGTAGTGATGTACTGTTAGCAAGGCTTGAAATTGCGACCATTTTGGTCGCATATGCTCCCGAAATTTAATCTGTGCGACCTCAAAATATATTTGGGAGCATTTGTGCGAGTGCATATAATTGTTGTCGTGCGACCTGTTTGCATTTCTCTAAAAACATTCAGAGTTTGTGCCTTCTGAGTGCTGATACGGTGACCTGTCTGCCGTTCTATGAAACGTTAGGCTACATAACCAATTAAACTTCGTCTTTACATTCTTAACTTTAGTGCAGATTTTAGATTGGTTAATATTAGCTGTCAATCACCCAGTCACTGCTTTCCGCTAACTACCGCGAGAAAAGAAAGGGCTGAAGAAGAGAGAAAATGAAAAAAACACTGACAGATTTCTTTTGTGAACCACCTAAAGTTACAAATAATGGTGCTGGTGATAGCGATCATGTGGTGAATGTTGATCCACCAGCCGAACGATGTGCGGTTTGACATTATCGAGTATATCGCGAAATCCAAACAAAATACACCTACAGAGAGTGCACGCATACATGACGTGAAGTCTATTAGATTAGATTAGTGCGCGTGCGCATTTAGAGTGCGTTCTTTCACGGCATTTTGCAGATATTTTTTATGCTCAAACAGCAACATTACAGACAAACTAAAGTTGAAAAAGTGAAAAAGCATAATAGGATTTACACTGTGTCTCTAAAATTTAAACCGCAGCTATATATTTTCATGTATAAAAAAACAATTTCGAGTGTGAGAAATTATATGAAAATATATAATATAATCCTCTTATTTGTTTTAATCAAATGTTTAACTAGTTTTATCTTTTATACTTATTTGAAATTCTGAGTTAGAAAGCCTCTAGATGCATTGCAGTGGTGCATCTACACATTGCATTTGATTGCTAACCGCTCTATTTATTCCTGCGTCAGGTCACCGTCTCAAACCGTCTGGTTTCTTCGCCCTGCTGCATCGTCACAAGCACATACGGATGGACGGCCAACATGGAGAGGATCATGAAGGCCCAGGCATTGAGGGATAACTCCACAATGGGCTACATGGCGGCTAAGAAGCACCTGGAGATTAACCCGGATCATCCCATCATCGAGACGCTCCGCCAGAAAGCAGAAGCAGACAAGAACGACAAATCGGTGAAGGATCTGGTGATCCTGCTGTTCGAGACGGCGCTACTTTCCTCGGGCTTCACGCTGGACGACCCACAGACGCACTCCAACCGCATCTACAGGATGATCAAACTCGGATTAGGTGGGTCAAAGACTCGATATTAGGGATGTAATGGTATTATATATGTATATTATTATATATATTATATATGCTATGTATATTTATTATGTTTATACACACGCATATAGTATGTATTTTGAATTTGTATTAACATGTATAAATTTATATTCATATAATTTGGGAAACTCAATATCGTGGTCACATGACGATATGAAACATATGTGGCCCCGGACCACAAAACCAGTCATAAAGGTTAATTTTGTGAAATTGAGTGAAAAGTGTTCTGCGATATTATTGGTGGATATTGCTTAGCCCCGCCCACACGGACTCGATTACATCAGCAGGAAAGGAAAGTCGTTTCAGAGGTGGAGCAATAATTACGTTTCGATGCCATTACAGATTTTATTTCTATTTTGATTCAGTTTTAAATCATTATTGAAGCAGCAGATGATTCATTAGATGCTTCTGCAGTAGAGGGATTAGAGAATCCAAAATAAAAGTTTGTTTACATAATGTATGTGTGTGCGCTATGTATATTTATTATGTTTATACACACGCATATAGTATGTATTTTGAATTTGTATTAACATGTATAAATTTATATTCATATAATTTGGGAAACTGGAGCACAAAACCAGTCTTAAGTGACAATTTTTCAAAATTGAGATTTATGCATCATCTTTCCATTGATGTATGGTTTGTTAGGATCGGACAATATTAGAACATCTGGAATCTGAGGGTGCAAAAAAATCTAAATATTGAGAAAATCATCTTTAAAGTTGTTCAAATGAAGTTCTTAGCAATGTATATTACTAATCAAACATTAAGTTTTGATATATTTACGGTAGGAGATTTACAAAATATCTTCATGGAACATGATCTTTACTTAATATCCTAATGATTTTTGGCATAAAAGAGAAATCTATAATTGTGACCCAAACAATGTATTGTTGGCTATTGCTACAAATATCCCCCAGCGACTTAACACTGCTTTTGTGCTGCAGGGACACAAATGTGAACAAAAAGTGTCTTTTTTAAGATGTATTTAAACTTCTTACTCTAACATAAGGCATTTAAAGATGTGTTTTGGGCACAGTATCTGTCAGACGAACTAAAACCGAAAGCACAATATGGCTTCATCAAGTCTGTTTTCGCTGCGTGTTTCAAAGTGAAGCGCACACTTCGTTCATGCGATCAGCTCGTGATCCGGTGTTTTCTGAGCCTCAGAACCAGTGTTACAACAAGTAATGCGAGTTATGTATTCAGATTACTTTTTTTAATAACTAGTAAAGTAATGCTATCGTATCGTGAGATTTAGATGTCGTTACATCCCTACTCAATATGCATGAGACTGCATGCGATTGCAATGGGAAAACAAGCATTCTAATGTTTTTTTTTCTGACGGTTTCAGGCATCGACGAGGACGAGGTGTCCACAGAAGAGCCCAGCTCGGCTCCCATCGAGGACATGCCGCCGCTGGAGGGAGACGAAGACACGTCTCGCATGGAGGAGGTCGACTGAGAACGGCCACCGACTCATTCATGTTTGTAGCTCTGTAAAAAGATTATTGTTCAGATTATTGATTATTCATGTTGTTCTTGACCACATTTCAGTTCCTGTTCATTCCAGTTTGGTTGGTAAAGCTTTCGGAAACATCTCGTCATCCCACATTCCCTTTTTTGGAATTTTTTTGTTTTTTTGAGTTGTGTATGCACTTTGTTTTGTATTTATTGATTAAAATTCCAATTCTGATTTTTGAGTGTTTAAGGGACACTGATACTGTATTATAGACATGACGGGATCCTGAAATAAAGCTTACCATATCAGATCGTTTGATGCCGTGTCTTCATGATGCTCAGACAAAACACTCCTTTAGGTTACATTTCACCACAAAAAACTAAACAAACAAAAACATTTAGCTTTAAGAAATCGGAGGCTGTTTTAGGACCTTTACAGTTTTTTGGGGTTGTGACATTTTCCTGTAAATTTAATTGAACATGGCAATGATGTATTGTTAAATAATTTATAATCATAAAAATATTGACTCACCCGTTTTAAGTTGTTACAAAAAAAAAACATAAAAATTGTTACATTCAAAGTGCAAACTTCAAAGCCATCCTGTCTAGACATATTAAAAGCAGTATACATTTTATTAAATATTACAGTGATGTATACTTATAATTGTATTTTACTGTACAAATGTGCTTTTTAATTTAAATATACGTTTTAATAGTCCTAAAAATATTGACCCATCATTTTGAAAATATGAGCTACAAAAGACATACAAATAGAAAATTAATTTTAAACATAAAAAGGTTTTTTAAAAATTATTTAAAAGGTGTTTAAAAACCTTATTGTAAATTGTTACTAAAAAGACCAAAAATGTTTAAAACTTATAAATTGTAACTTTAAAAAAAGGCTTAAAAATATTCTTTATTATAAATTGCTACTAAAAAACAACAAAAATGTATAAAAACTAAAATGTGTTTAAAAATGTACAACCTTGTTGTAAATTGTTACTAAAAAACAATAATGTTCAAAAACAAAAATGTTTCAAATCTCGTAAACTTATTTTAAATTGTAACAAAACAAAAACTTGTTTAAAATTTTTTTACAATCGTACTTTATAAATTGTTACTAAAGAAGAAACGTTTAAAATATATATATGTTTAAAAATGTACAACCTTATTGTAAATGGTGACTAAAAATACATACAAATAAAATTGTTGTACACAATGTGTTCTAATGTGCCAAGCTAATATTATCTGTAGAGATACAGAGAGTGTCCAGCAGGTGGCAGCACAACAATACAAAATACCATTTACATTTCAAACGCTTGAGCTCACGAGTCCATAAAGATAAATAATATTGTTTACAATGCACACATTATTGAATGGCAACACTGAGTAATTAATGTTCTCCTTAAGTGTAAAATAATAAAATGCATGCATTTCATTGAAATGAGCGCTCTGTGTAATTTCATCAGATGAAAATAAAACTGAAGTTGAAGTGCATCAGAAAGGAAGGTGCAGCATGAGTTTACAGACTTCATGATGTGTTCAGTTTAGTTTAGTTTGCTGCTGCATGAGTGTGTGTGTGTGTGTGTGTGTGTGAGAGAGAGAGAGAGAGGATAAATGGAAATTATTGAACAAATCAAATCAAGAAGATCTGGCTATCCAAGATGGAAGAATCATTTCCAAGAATTATATAGCTCAACTGAAATTCAAAACTCTGATCAAAATGAAATAATTAAAAAACTAGACATTTTTGAAAAATCAATAAAAGCATATCAAAACCCCTTAGATTTCCCCATAACACTGAAAGAGTTAGAAGATAAATTACGGGTCCTGGAGCCCAAGAAAGCCTGCGGTGTTGACGGCATCCTGAACGAGATGCTGAAACACACAGAGCAACGCTTCAAACTGGCCATCCTCAAGCTCTTCAGTGATGTTCTGTGTGTAGGGTTCTTCCCTGAGATCTGGAACCAGGGCCTCATCAGCCCCATTCACAAGAACGGAGACAAACTGGAGCCCAACAACTACCGAGGCATCTGTGTGAACAGTAACCTGGGGAAGGTGTTCTGCAGCATCTTAAACACAAGACTGTCAGACTTCCTTATCAAACACAATGCCTTGAGGAAATCTCAAATTGGATTCCTCCCAAAATGCCGCACATCTGATCACATTTTTACTCTACAAACACTAATTGATAAATATGTACATCAAAACAAAAGTCAAATTTTCGCCTGTTTTATTGATTTCAAGAAAGCATTCGACTCAATCTGGCATGAAGGATTATTCCTAAAACTCATCGACAGCGGAATAGGAGGTAAATTCTATGATTTGATCAAATCCATGTACACAATCAGCCAATGTGCAGTTAAAATTGGAAACAAAAGAA